GGAGACAAGGCGATATGTGCCAACTATAGAGAAACCAAGATGATGGTATCTACATCCAACCGTGGAACTTGAAAACAACAGCCTCGAGGTAGTCAAAGAATTTGTGTACTTCGGTACCGCCATAAATAAAAATAATAACATCAGTTTTAAAATGCGGAGAAGGATAGTGTTGGCCACACATTTTACTGCATTCATACTTTCTGTGGCAATTTCAATCAATATTCACAATTTTGCTCCCCTATTAGGTCAAAAGTGCATAAAAACATATGCTGATTTATATTATAGTATTATTCATTAAAAATGAGAAAAAAATAAGTTTCCTACCGAAAATATGACAGCCTTTTTCTTCAGCAGAAACTATTTTGATTTGTAATGTATTTTGTAGCATACTTAATGGACAAGTGATTATTAGCTCTGTCTGTTAACTCGATATTTGGTAACAATTGTTACCAAATGTTACTAAATGTTGTCTGTTTACACAAAAATCCAGTAAAAGAGAGTCAAGTGAGAGAGCAAGTTTGAGAGTTGAACAACAACAAAGTTGCTGGAGTTTACTGAAAGAATTTTTTTCAGTAAGATTTTGCAACTCAGTCATTTTCTGATCAGCTGTTTTCTGACCAAACACAAAAATTATTTAAAATATTTTTTTTTAATTTGCAAAGTTCAATTTGAAGTTAATTACAGAAAATGGAAGAAAATTCGTAAGTAATGCAAAGTTTCATTAAATTAGAAACTAATTCCTTTTATATTTTTAGGCAAGTTCCAGATAGAGGGCAATATATTGATGCTGGGAGCTTAAATGTTCCCGGGGTACATAACAGATCAAATTTTCTTTTATTATTCATTTTATTTTTAATATTAAATGCAATACAAATAATTGTGTTCGTCCTTTGTTTGTTGTTTTTTTGGCGCCAATCAAATGTTTTCTTGAATCAGATGTTTATTTGCTAAATCTTACTAAATGTTGTCTGTTTATTTTTTTTCAGTATTATCGCAAAAGAGAGTAAGAAAAGCTTACTCTCTGAACTAGAACTTACTGAATAAATGTTACTGGAAAAGTAACCAGACACACTTATTATTGCAAAAGCAGGGTTGTATTTGAAGTTATCTCTGTTAAAGGTGCGTTGCCTTCTAAATCGACTCGATTTGTAAATCGAGGTACAAAATCCTATCTGCTTAGATTAGTAATAAAATGAAATGAAGTGGATCTGTCAGATGTTATTTGTTTACGTATACATACACATTTTACTGTATTTATAATTTCTGTGGACACTATTCAACCAATATTTGCGTAATTCTAATAGAAATTACTTTAAATTAAGCAAAAAAGCTCAGAGCTAGAATTTGGTACCTCATTTACAAATAATATTTGTGTGATGTACATATTGAAGGGTATTTTAAGCAATTAGCATTTATGTTCTTCTTTTATATATAATAAGTCCAAAAATATTACGATAGTTAAATAGAAAATATATTTTTGTGAGTTGTGTCACTTTTGATGAAACGTTGTGCATACATTTAGAAATTAGAGTCATATGTGGATATTTATTATAACCACTTTAAATTGCATTTCAGATTGAAATGATTTGATTGTTTGTGAATGATTTTTGTTTCAACAAATCAATAGAACAAAATACATGAATATTAATTTGGGAACTTTGGCAAACATTTCAGAATCCTCAAATTATTTATCTACCAATATTCAGTTTGGCCTTCCGAAACAAAAAAAAAACAACAAAAACACATTATTAAAAATAACAACACATGTTGCTGCTTGCAACCATTGTATTCGCACCCATGTTCTCTCTATCGGTTTCCTTCCGGCTAAAGACAACAAAATTAATGTGAACATTTATTAATTGTAACAGTGCACTAAGTGAGGGTGATTACAATAATTACACTTCTATTTGAAGTAGTCAAGAGAAACAAATTACATCATTAAAAGTTTCCCATCGGGCAAGTGAACAGCGAGACTAACTTCTTTTTCTACCGAACAACAGGTAATTTTTTCCTGTCTAAAGCGTTGGCCAGTAAATTTATGATTAGCCATTTGCCGCTGTTGCCAAAATGAAGCCTAGCGAGATGCTGGTTATTTCACATCATAGGTCTTGTTTTCAATGTCAAGGACTAGATTTCATTTATCTTAATTTCTGGCCAGGGGAAGTAAAACAAACAAAGTGCAAAACAATTAATGAAGCAATAAATTTTGTGGTAGTTGGAAAATCTAACAACTAAAACAAAAGAGGAAAACAATAGCAAAATCTGAAAATGCATTCGCATTAGCATTGGACGAAAGCATACAGCAGGGTAGTTCACCCTCTAGTAAACATAAAATGTATTTTTACAATCAAATACGTTGATAATAAGGCGCCTTAAGGCGCTTTTAGACTATGCTTCTAAATCAACTCGATTTATACATCGAGATATCTAATCCTAACTGTTTAGACTAGTTTTAAACTGAAATGAAGTTGATTTGTCAGCTTCTATTTGATTACGTATTCGTCCACATTTCATGATTTCCGTGGCAATTTTTCAATCAATATTCTCAACATTTTGGGTGGAATTGGTCTCTATTAACTCAGAATTTCTAAATTATTGTAACATTTATTTTGAATGCAGTAATAATGAATATTAACTAATTTTAAAGTATGATTTAAGGAGAAATGATTATTATTTGGGACATGAAATCATCTCGTTTTAGGTGTCTCAAAAGGGTACAAATATCTTTTCTTTTGTAACTAATTGTGAAATTCGATGAGGAATAATTTTGTCTTTGTCGAATATTGAAGATTTTGATACATTTCTACAAGGTGTTTAATTAACTCAACTAAAACGACATTTACATTAGATCTTTTTACCGGGTTAACCTACTTTATGAGGATTTATTTGGCATGTATACAATTGGACCCACTGGGTTAACGAAATCCGGTACAATGTAAACGTAGGGGTTTCTTATAAATTTTAAGTAATAGGTACATATGTAACCTTTAAAATGAATATACATATGACATACTTTAAGCTTGATAAATATATTTTATTACTGTTTTAATGGAGGAAGTCAAAGTTTTCAAAACTGCCCCCCAGGGGCAAGGGTTAGCATTTTTGAACGACATGGTTTTTAGGGTGTTTATGTTCAAATATGTATGTATTTTATTCATACATATCAGAAATGCATTTATTCATTAAAAAATATATAAAAAAAATTCGAAATGTAAAAAATTTAGATCAAAATTTATTAAAACATAAAATGACTTAAAAACAAAAATTAATATGGTGAAAAATACAGTTAATTTTGTAATCTTATTAGCCCATTTGAAATTTTAAGAAATTGAAACCAAAAGTTGAAAACTCCGTTTTTTACTCGAGTTTAATGGGCATGTTCAAAGGTGCCCCACCCATGGCATTTTACGGAAATTTATAATATATATAATTTTTTTTTTTTGTAATAAATATTTATGAAAGAAATTACATTAGTTATGTTTGAAATGATTGTTGGAATGCAAAAAATTTGTTTGACGAAAGAAAACTATCACAGAATTCGTCCTGAGCCCTTACAACCAAATGAATAAAAGTTTACAATGACACTGCGAAAACATGGTCACCCATGCACAATTTTTCGGCAACTTGAAAAGCAAGGCAAAGTAGTTTACGCAGATAGAGAACAAGATTGCCATATACAAAAATTTGGTTGCGGGTCGGAAAAATTTTAAACCAAGATTTTATGAGCGCTGTTCAAAGGTGCCCCCTCTCCCCTACTATAAGAGTTTGTTGCCAATAATTTGTACAAATTATTACAAAATGTTGTTCGTTTACCCAAAAGTCCAGTAAAAGAGAGTGAATTGAGAGAGAAATTTTGACAGTTGCGTTACTGAGTATTTGCATATTCTTACAAGGAAAGAATCAGTAAGAATTTTCTTGTACCATCAGCTGAAACGAAACGAACGTATAGTTAATTTTCTTCCGTAAATTTCTGAAAAAATATAGAATTTTGCAACTCATAGTAATATTTGACGTAGAATATTTCATTATGTGAGGCTATGCACGGAAAATGTAGTTTCATGTTACTTTCATACAATACGTTGAAGTAAAGTACTAGGAAATGTTCAGTGACACACTAAAATTTGATCGAGAATATTTTTCTAAAATGACATCTAGTGAGGAAAATTGGCAAAAACTCGGAATATGTTCGGTTCTAAGCCTAAAATGAGTTTTCACATTTTTAAGATTTTTGAAGTTTAGGCTGATTTTCAAGTTTTGGCCTATTCTGAGACTTATAGTTTTTAAATGGGGTTTTAATCATTACTTGAAAAGAGTGCCGATACAAGTGTCTACCATTTGTAGCCCCTCTATCATATTTTTTCTGTACATCAATGTTTTTACCTGGAACTACTTCTATACCCCATTTGTATTATATGTATGTATTTGTATAGTTTTCTAATAGCTGTTTTTTTTTCTTGTGTGTTTAATTGTACCGCTATGGACATTTCCGATGGTACGATAAGTTTTTGTTTTTTTATTCTATGATTGGTCACGTTATATGAAAATATTTTTTTCTCTGATGATTTGACATTAAATTAGTTGCTTATGTCTCCAACACGATTAGATTTCTGTATTACTTCGATTTCTGATATTTTTATCAATGGCCTTAGTTAAGATTAATTAAAAATAAGTTATAGTCCGATAAATTTTCGAAATTTGGTTCTTGATAGAGCTTTACATTTTCGGTATTGTTAAGTTTTTAAATAATAAAATAAATTTTCATTATTCTGTTTTCTCAGACAAAAGTAAATTGTATAATTTTAAAATCCTAATTTTACACATACATACATAAATAATAAGTTGCTATGAACCTTGCTAGAGAGCACTGCAACTTCTATGTTTCTCCGAGTTTTCTTTTCTTCTCCTATATAAAGACAGAAAAAAGAAAACACCAAACCAATGCCTAATACAAAAAAAATGTTTACAACTCTCTGTGTATTGTTCCTTCTCCGTCTTTTCAGAGCCGCTTGTTAGAAGATGCATCCCTTCTATGCAATTCATGGTCAGCACGTCAAAATGTAAGTGATGTCGGCAGACAAAAAAATACTTTTCTTTCTTTCTCCTCCTTTCTCCTTTTGGTCCATCACTACATTCAAATATAAATATTAACTCACATACACCATCAGGCGTAATGTGAAGGCATGTCAGTTGATAGGTGAATGCGTGTGTGTGGGTTTGAAAATAAAATGTCGATAAAAAAACTTAAGATGTTATTTTTATTTGTTTTAGTTCTTTTTTGTCTCAGCAACAAAAGTTTTAATAAAATATTTATGATTTGTTAGTCCAAACGCTCTCACACACATATCCGTATAAATTTGCGCTCAAAAAATGTAATAAAATGTGAAATTTCAAGCATTTGTCGAATGAGCGCTTTAAAAAAATTACACTTTAATACACTCACATATTTGAATGTTTCTATATACTTACACATATATATAGGTATACATGAGAGCATGTAAACGGAAATAAGTTCTATATACTAATAAATATATGTACATAAATATACACACATGTGAATTGTGAATACGTACACGTACGTACGTACATATGGCCAAATAAATGAATGTTTTGATGAAAACGAATATAACAAATCTTTTTTATGTTGGTTTTTATTATTGTTTACACTCGCAATAAGGGAATTATCATATTTGATTATGCCGATGCTTAAACAAACATTGAACGAAAGTAAAAGTGCGAATAATATGTCTCCAGGAAAGGAGAACAGAAAATATGTTCCTAATCAAATTTTAACACGAAGTCGATTCATTTCAAAGAAATTTTTAACAATATATATATATATATACATATATATCATATTTTCCTGGTGGCACATGAAAACACAGAGCGTGAAAAATAATATTGAAAATAAAGCAAACTATCCGACAAATCGGGTTATATAATTAGTATTCAAACTTTTGTATTTGCTGTTTTTATTCAGACCTCAACATTTAATATTGAAGTATACGAAGTGTAGTATTCTACCAAGTGTAGGAAATATGATTTGGAATCGGTTTTACTTACATACAAACCTGTATAAGCTTATTTACGAATATGCGAAAATTTTTTCATGAACATCAGCGATACGCCAATTAAATATAAGAGATGTGTATCGGCATTTTGAAAGTTTACGACGGGATATAGACCAAAACTCGAAAATCAGCCTAAAGGTCAAAAATCTTAGAAATATGAAAAGTCATTTTGGGGATAAAGACAAAATTATTTTACATCGATTTTTTTTTTTTTTTTTTTTGTATATTCGATATTTTCGATATAGAAAAATTTCCATTTTAATCCAATTTAATGGTTAATTGAAACCAACAATTATAATCTAATATTTTGGATGAATTTTCGAAGACTTTACTTCGCGTAAAAGAAAACCCGTTTAATTGGAAATCCGCATAAGAGAAAATTTTTTTGTTGCAAAAACAAAAATATATATAAAAGAAGCCCTGTTTAAGAGAAAAACATAATTTTTTCAATTAATTTAAAATTTTTATGTGCAACACCTAAAATTATGTTGCAACTAGTTTCGCTTATCCGAAGTCCCTTTAATTGAAAATTCTGCATAAGTGAAAAAACAGTTAATGATTGTAATTATAATTATTGGAAGAGATTGATTCGGTTTATGCGAAAACCTCACGCGCACCATTCTGGTTAATATTGCTATTTGTATTTATTACAATATTTAAAGTCAGAGAATAATTGGATAATTGAGATATGTTTCATTTAAACAAAGGTCAATAAAAGTGGTATTGAAATACCGGGAATAAATCCAGTTTTATTTTTTAATTTGGACATAGCTTCTGCCTCCATGTTATCCCATTCACCCATTTCGGGTTGGGTTTGGAATCCGCATATTTTACTCAACCTATAGTTATGTTTTATGATTTAAAAATAAAACACATTAAAATATATTTATTAAATATTAAATTATTAGTTTATTTATTATTAAATTCGGTTGAAGACTTTCTGTTCAACCGACTATTAATTTTTTTTTTTTTTTTTTTTTGGTTTTAGAAAGTTGAAACTTGGCCAATTTCCAGATAACGCCACAACAAGCTCCGACTATTAATTATGTGACATTTGTATATTACGTCTAAATGAGAACTGAACTCTTCAATTAGAAATCGACTTCTTATAATCTAATTTTAAAATGTTAGTATAACAATTATAACAAATTAACATTAAGAGAGATTTTATATCATACGAGAAAGAGAGTAACACAAAGAGAGTGATAATTAATAATTGAAAATAAGAGAAAGTAAGAGAGAGTTTATGAATTTGGTAATCACTTAAAAAGATAGATTGGAGTTTTAGAAATAAGTGTAAGGTGGAGGTATGCAAATATAACTCTATGTACCAAAAATCATTTATATGCTCGCAAATATATTTTTTTCAAATTTCTGAAAAACTTTAAACAAATATTGAAAATTCCCATTTATAGAATTTATATTATAAAGACTCGAATACTATATGTGCATAGATTCAAGTTTAAATATATAATAGAAACCATACGTACCGAAATGGCTGTAATTTGTCTTTTGGATTATTGTTGAGTAAAAGTATTTCACAAAATAAATGCTCAATATAGTTAAACCTTTTGAGATAGTTTCTAGTTTTCTAGTTTCTGCTCGTTTCTAGATATTTTAAATGCATTTGCCCAGCACCTAGAAGGCTTGCTTATTATCCTTGACTAAAGGCTTCATTTCAATTCAATTCACACTCGAAGTACTACATTCCGAAGTACTAATTTAGGTTTTGTAAAAATAGTATAACGTGCAAAAAATAGGAACAATTCGGGTTCCATAGGCTTTGTATGAAATTTACAACTTATCAAATGTTCAGGTTTTGTGTAGGAAGTACAGGAATGGGTAGACTGATAGAATTCATTTGCAGACTCGATCAAAGAATAAAAAAATCAAATAGCCTATACATTTTATGCGAAATAAACAATGAGGTATGAGGTATCAGAAGGATTAGATTTAGAGGCATGATGTCGGAGGTTGGAAGCTCTAAGTTTTGTAAAAATCAATAATCAGAAATTTGAAAATATCTACTATATCCGCCTTAAACGCATGCTGACATTTTGAAGCCTAATATTTTATATTATATTACTATATTTTATGATACTATCAATTCGCTCCTCAAATGTTCGATGTCGATTTCTATGACCTTTTCTATGGTTATTCATGGGAGTTAGAAATATTTATACTATTTCCGATTTTGTCAATTATTAACCAAAATTACTGAGAATTTTACTATATTTTTTATGCTAGAAAGCGGTAAAAGTTGAAAATATTCGTGCACGTTCTGAAACAAAGTTTTCATTTGCTACTTATGTTTTTTAATTCATTCTATTATATTTAAATGTTCCAAATTACCCCCTGTTTCTATTAAATATTTTAGCCGATACTTGAAATTGCATGTCATATTTATGTTACTTCTGTGTTGGTGTGTAGTATTACAGATTTGTATTTCTTATCTTATCAACATATTTACACCTCCATCCTTTGCAGGGTGATATATTTGCCGGTATAAACGATGGCATACTTAGCAGAGAAGCCTTATCCGCGATAGATATAGGAAAACACCAAGCATCACATGTACATCCCTCACAAATGACCTCCCAAATGAAACATGACGTTATGTATCATCACCACAGTATGGGAGCGCCTCCACAACGACCACTGCAGGTAAGTTGGTATCACTGCCTCGGTCTGAGGACAAATCAGTAACAATCATGATAAACCGACATGTAAATGTTGTATCTTACTATTTACGTGCGTACGTACAAAACGTAAATATATGTATGTGTATGCGTATGCGTAAAAGTTTTTACATCTACCCAAGAACCATCCAGCCATTTTTTTAAGTTAGTGAAAAACTCAAGTGGGGCAATGTGTCTGTCTGCCATTTATAAAAGTCATTTTTTATTTATTACAACTCTGTCTGCAATGTGGGATAAATTAGGTGTGTATGTAGAAGTGTTCATTCGTACGTAGGAATATATGAAATACGCAACACTTGTCATATGGTATGCAGCAACCCGTTTAGTTTGCGAACAGAGAAAGAGAGAAATATTCACAATGGCTTCCTTGTATGTGAGAGAGAATTCTTAAGTCATTCGGAATGTAACTCATCAAAAACGTTATCAAGTAAATAAAAAATAAATTTGTGAATGTTAACGCTATCCTGCGAATTTATTATTTTATAGGACTACCTTGAGATATGTTCCTGTGTTGATATCTGAAATATATATTCTTCTCGCCCACTTAATAATTCGAATTATTTCAAATTTTTCTATTTGTATGTTCAGTTTTGAAGTAAAACAAATTAATTTGTCTTGGATCGCAATTGTTATAATTCGAATTACAAATAGAATTCAAATTATTCTATTTGTAATTCGAAATATATAGTATGAAATAGAATAGAATGGTAATTATAACTCAAAATATATATTAAAAAATATTGACGAGTTTCGAATTACAAACGAAATAATTTGATTTTCAAATGAAATGTTTGAAATTAGAATAACTTGAAATGCAATTTGAATAATGTGTTCAAAATTGAATAAATAGTATTACCACTCTGGAAGGACGTAGATGTTTTGTCTACTTCTGGAATAGTAAACATTTCAAAGACTTTGTCCAAACTTTGCTGATCGTAATATAATTACCAATGGTGAGTCAAGTTAGAAGATGAAGCCTTTCTACAAAGGATACCAATGAAACATTGTAATATTTTTACTAAATCTGAATTATGACGGCCTTAAAAATACTCACACACAATATCAGGGAAAATAGTTTTTATCAAACTTAACCAAGGATCAGAGATGAAGAGCAAAATTTAAAAATTTTTCAGCCGACACAAATGATTTTGAAAAGGCAAGCGTGATGTTTGATGCAGATATAGACAGGGATTGTGATATATACAGTGAATCACATTAAAAAGTATCCAATTTTTTATTTTTATAATAAAAGTGCCATAAGTGTACGTTAATTAATTGATTCAATTTTATTATTTTTTATATATGAACATAAAAATCTTAACTTAAAACTCATGCAATAAATAAAACGATATGTATGTGAATTCAATATAAAAAATAATGATTTTTAAACAATACTGTAATGGCCTCTTCAGTGGTAAGAATTGTGTGCTTAGGGTTAACGTCTTAATTCGCCCTGCGCGATACCTGCGCGGTATCGCCCTGCACGATACCTTAAAAATAACAGATTTCCAAAATGCAAAATCCTTTTTTTCGTGTTCCTGAATATATATATATATATATAATTTTTTTTTTGACGGCAGATCGAGTTAGGATGTTCATGTTCACATATAAAAAAATAAGAAATAAACTGCTCCAATTGTATTTTCCGGTTTTTGAGGTTTATGAATGGCTTTTTTAACTGGTGCCGAACGTGAAATAAAATGTTCCTAACAGAGCACGTATTTTGCCAATAACATGGTCTGTTCCCGGAATCTACTAATTTTTTTTCTATTTTGTTCGATAACATAAAGAACAAATTATTGTCGTAGTAAAAATAAGTAGATTTTTGCACTACGGGAACAGACCAATAGTCTTTCAAAATTATTAGTTTTATATTTTCAATAAAAGGGCATTTGACCAAAACTATTACTCGACGTTAAACTCAAAAATAATTCTTATTCTCAATTATTGCTTGGAATCAAACATGTGAACATGACTATGCAAAAATGTTTATGATGTCACAGCGACAAGGGATGTTAAACCATATTTTTCACTAGTTTCCGATTCGATTTTTTGTTATTTCATTTGTAAGAATACCGTTAGGCATCACCATCAGTGGCAGTGTGTCGAATCACTCAACATAATTTCGAGGCGACACCTTGCATAATGCCGTTCAAGTGGCAGTGGTGGGCTGAGGTCTCGGAGCGTTTGTGTGTAAGTGCGTGTAAACACTAACACACTCCTTATCTGAAATGATGGGGTTTCCACGGTTCATTGTCTCTAGAAAACAGGTTGTGCAAGTTGATTACAATCAACTAGCAAACCAATAACTTAAGGGCTAATGCGACGAATACCCCTTGATTCGCTTAACATTTCTATCGGAGAACAACAATGGCTAGCCACTTGCCGCTTTAATTCACAATCACCCACACACCTACAGCGGAATAAAACACGGCAAGTACAAGTTGATACTCATGTAACGACGACAATACAATTAACGACACGATTCCTGGTGTACTTACCTGACGAACGACCGTCACGTGTCCATTTCCCAGGAGGAAAACCACCGTGTTAGGCAATGCATGTGAATGTATACATCTTTCAATTGAATGTGTGCGTGTGTGTGTGTGTGAAACCGTTTCCTCTACTTTAATTGTATTAAAAAATAAAAGGCGAAAGCCAAACGAAACTCATTCTCGTTATTAGCCAAACTGTCAAAAATTCAATTAAAATAATAATAAAAATCAACCAGATCCGAATGTGAAGCCACTTCACAGGGGATGAGTCTGCTGGTGGTAGATTTGCTTGGATGGTGGCGGTTGGCATTATGCTACAATTACCAACAACGAAAACAACAACAGCGATAATTAGACAAACATTACAACAACAACAATTTACATCAACTCCGAAAAACAAATTCAAATTATAATTACAATAATGAAAGAGTTAAGATGATGTTGATGGAAGGAAGCACTGTATAGGATAAGACTTACCTTCGCCATTCTCCTTCTGCCACCGGTTTGTGATCTATACATTACTGTTCCACAATTCCATTAGCTGTGATTATAGAAATTATGATTTGTAGTCGTAAAAATATGTTACATTATATTGTATGCTTGACGTTCGTTCGACCAACAAGCATAGAGGTGGGGTAACTGGTATCTATCTGTCTGTCTGTATGATGAGACGACAATTGCCTGTCTGTCCGACTCCGTTTCGTTAAAGCTTCGTTCACCCTTAAAAAAATAAATGTGTAATTCAATTTAAATTATACTCATATGCTTCCGGCTAGGAAGTTAACATTCGTCCTCGTCCTCATCATCGTTGTCATGTTCGTGGTTGTGTGGCCGTCGCCTATGAATTAGATACGGATATTTTCAACCATATGGTTTAATTTCCCTTAAACTATTTTCCTACGGCTACCAAAAGGGATATACATATGTACATACAAACATACTTACATTCGATGTTTATTTGTGTGTCGTGTAAACCGCAAGTGGTTTATCGAATGGAAATTCATTTAGTACACCTGTTTGTTTTTATTTTTTTAGTTCTTAATACAATCAAATGATTTTTACTCCTTTCATTTCATGGCAAAAAAAAAAAGAAATTGCTTATGAAATATGATGTGGTTTTCAGTGTTTAAAACTATTCCAATATAGAAGAATCCGAAGGTGCTTATACACTACTAAATTTTCCCTAAAATCTAATTTTTTTGGTATTGTATTGCCAAGTTAATAAAAACGCATAACATAGGTGTCCGTTCGATGATTAAACTATAATTGTGAAAACACATACACCATTTATATATATATATATATATATAGCAAAGTTAATCTGTCAGACTTAATATCCTGCATCGATTTCGATACATAAACGCTGCTCTTAGTATTCATATTATAGACCATAGTTAATTATATAGGCGTTTTATCACATCTACACGGATTTGAAACAAATTTACTGAATTTAGTTCTATGTTCAAAATCTTTGACATGAAATCGGACGAAAGTATATCACGCTTTATTCTTAACTTAATTTGGTCCTTTTAAATTGAATGGAAATTTGGAAAATTACATGTCCAACGGAAGGATTTGATTCATATCGTGAGTCAGAAGTATCCAACTGTTTTTTTTTTCATTATAAAAATGGCATAAATTCGAGTTAATTAATGAATAAAATTGTATTCTTTTTTATATGTGGACATGAACATCCTAACATAAATTTAATGAAATAAAATAAAAAATATTTATATAAATTAAATATAAAAAATAATTATAATTATTATTACACATAAACAATTTTAGCCTCACAGTGGAAAGTATCCATTATTATTTACAATATATAATAACGGTTTAAAGTCAATCTTCTGATGGAATATCCAGTTTAATATTGCATCAGATTTTTTGCACTTTACGCATGAGTTTTCTTATTCCGATAGCTATCGTGAGAATTTGAGACCATCATGCTGAACCAGGAAATCTCTAGGGAAAATATCGGAAATACTCAATATTACCCTATCTGCTGTCCAAAAAATTCTATTGAGACACAAGACCGAGAATCGAATTTGCAATAAGCCAAAAATCAATAAGCCTGAAATTGCAGAGAAATATCAGGAAATGAAATGTAACCCAAAAAACAATTCGAAGAATTTTGCGTAAGCATGGTCTTCATGGTGGAGTTGCACTGAAAAGACTATTCAAAAAACCCCCAAAAAAGCTGAAAATCCGATTGGAGTTCGTTCTGGAACACGAAAAAATGCTGTTGCATTTTTGGAAATCTGTTATTTTTGCTGATGAAAGAAAATTTATTTTTTTTGGCTCGGATGGACTTAGTATGGTATGAAACAGGGCGAATAAAACCGTGGTCCCAAAGCACACAATTCCGGCCGCAAATCACAGAAGTGGTTCTGTATGAGCGCGGCTGGAGTAGGAAATTTTGGTTATATTGAAGGAATTATGGATAAAAATTATTATGTAAACATTCTAA